ACAGAGTTAAAAAAAAAAAAAAAGGAGTCCCAGAAACAGCAAGAGAAGCCAGTTTTGCAGGAGTTGCCAGAGATAATAGAAATTCTTTCTCCATATGTCCCAGCCTACCCCGCTTTACTGAGGCCAACAGCCCCCTCAGAAACGAGATTCAGGAGCTAACATGACCCAGGTCTCACCTCGAAGGGGAGGATCGGAGCCTAGAGAGGCCAAGGAAGGAAGTCAAGATAGTCAAGTGGGCCCTCTCAGATCTGTTCTTGCTTGAGCTATGTAAATGCCTCTCAGGCAGACGCAAGGACCTGTCTATTATAATGACCAGGCCCACATCCGGGGGGGGGCAACAGACTTTCATCTATCAGCCCTTTTCAACCATTGATCTACTAAACTGGAAACACCCTGAACCCGGCACCTTGCTCCCGGCAGCTAGAGCCCTGTCGAGCATAACTGTGTAGAGGTGTGTGGGACTCAAGTTTACTCTAGCAGACCTGACCTCCGGGACCAGTCTTAGGCATCAGTAGACTAGGAGCTATACAGCTTCATCAACCCACAAGGAGAGAGAGGTGCGGAATATGCGGTGGTAACCCTGGACACTGTCTTGTTAAGCTGAGCTCATTGCTTTAATTCGGGCCTTAGTACTCAGTAAAGGTAAGAATGTAAACATTTACACTGACTCTCGGTATGCCTGTTTAACCCTCCAAGTGCATAAAAAAATTATATAAAGAAAAGAACAACAACAACAAAAAGACTAAAAGTAAGTGTAACAAAAAGAATCAGAAGAAAACAGGAGAGACAAGAGAGCAGTGTGCGGGGGCGGGTCCCGTGCCCTTGCCCCGCCCCACCAGCTGGCTGTAAGAGCAGGATAACTCAGAAGGAAAAAACAAAAAAGCAAATTAAAGACTTAAGAAAGAAAGCCAATCTGTTAGCAACAGCTCTCATAAAAACAAAAATTAGCAATGTGAGAGGACGTGGACGTGAATATAAATGTGAAAGAAGTCAAGTTAGGCAAGGATTCAAGAGCCGGACAAGGCTAGAGAGAGATTAACGTGTGAGATGCAAAAAGAAAGGACACTAAAAAGGTAAATATTTAAAAGGCAATAAAAGAAATGGCCAAGGCTGCAAGACAAAGAGGCCATCGGCCAAGGGCTGCCGCACCTTGGAGGAACCAAATACGGACCTGATCAGGCTGACAGGAGCTGAAGAATGTATAGACTAAGGCAGACTAGGCACCTTATTTTAGGCTCCCAGGAGCCCACGGTCACATTAGAAGTTAAAAGCAGCAAGATTCTGCCGCATCTGGATTCCAACTACTCACTGAAGGCTAAGCCACTAAATAGTGTTACCAAGAGTGGGTGGGGGAGAAGAGCCCCTCCTCTAAGAAACTTAAACAGGAAAAAGAGCAACACCTTGTGAAAACTTGCGTATAGACTTTACAGAACTGCTCCGTGCTGGAGGCTGTCGATACATGTTAGTGCTTGTTTGCATATTTTCAGGGTAAGTTAGTTTTCCCTTTCAGGACAGAAAAAGTACAAGAAGTGACTAAAGTACTGTTAAAAGACATTATCCCCAGGTTTAGAGTACCTCTAACTTTAAAGTCAGACAATAGGCCAGCATTTGCAGCTGACATAGTGCAAGATTTAACAAGACTGTTAAAAATAAAATAAAAGTTACACACAGCCTATCGGCACAAAGTTCAAGAAAAGGTAGAACGCATGAACTAGACACTCGAGCAGCTACTGAAAAAAATATTGCCAGGAAATTCATTTAAGATAAAATCAGGTTTTTGGCTATGGTCCTCCTCCGAGTCAGGTGCACCCCCACCAAACAAACTAGGTATTTGCCCTAAAAGATTGTGTTCAGTCTGCCACCCCCAAATCATAGGTCAAATTAAAGGGGACCTCCAGAAACCAAAGGAATTAACCTTAAAAAAGCAAATGCAGGCTTTAAAAATAGCCATACAAAGTGTTCATAATTAAGTAAATGAAAATGCCTATAAGCCTGACACCCCTTTAAATCTAGTGACTCTGTTTAAAGTAAAATTTAATTTTTCTAGGACCCATACAGGATGGGCCCTGTACTGTAACCTTGTAACCTTGTCCACTCCCACTGCTGTTAAAGTTGCAGGTGTTGTGTCTTAGATCCACCACAGTCAGATAACACTGGCAGCTCAGGACAGTGGACCAGCCAGCAGGATGCAGATCACCCAACCCAGCCGATCCTGAGATGAGACCAAGCTGCTGCTGAGAACCACAGCCCTGCTCTAGTCACACACCAGCAGCTGACTAGTCTACGCACGGCCGAAGCTTGAGGACTCATCAAGCAAGTAAATGTAGTTAAAAATCTTAAGACTAATAGTTTTCCTGTAATACTGTTTTCCTATTGTTCTGTGTCTGTATTCAACCTTTTTCCCAGGTAAGGACCTCTTTTGTCCTTGCTGGATATGAATATACTGTACATTGTTTTGTTGTTGATACCCCCCATAACCATGCTAGAAGAAACACCTATATAAGGTGTCCCCACTGTACACATACTACTTAGGAAACCCAGACCCATCCAGCCCAGCAACAATTCCGAGTCTTTCAGTCATTCTTTAAACATATAAACCAGAAGTTACCAGAACCTCCTCCTTTAGCAAAAAGAAAATAGAAAAAAACCTATTTGCTCAGCTGGCTGAGAACATTGCTGGCAGCCTGGATGTCTCTTTATGTTATGTTTATAAAAAAGCTAACATAAGAGACCAACAGCCTTGAGAAGCAAAAGAGTTAATGCCTCAAAATAACTTTACTTTAACTAAATCTTTCCCCAAACAGACGCCCCAAGTTCAAGCGTCTTGGCTCTTAAAAGTTTCTGTTATTAAAAAATACTGTGTTACTTGCTAAGAAAAAGCTTTTAAGACCCAGTAAAAAAACTAACTTGCTTAAGACATGACAAAGTTGGTACATGTGCCTGTACAGGTTTAACACAGGTTTGAACCTAAGTCTTCATTCAGAAAACAGTTTCCAACTACAAAAAAATGTAAAACCCTCATTATAAGTGTATTACTAGTAATAGAAACTTGCTTGCTGCTCCCCTGTGTATTACACTTGCTCCTTCAAATGATAAAAGGTTTTGTAGCTACCATGGGTTCCTCAGAAGACTTCAGCACAAGCGTATTACATAAAACACTATTGCTCTGTCTTGCAAAGAGACTCAGAAAGTAAAAATAAAAGTAAGAACTCCCACTAATTAGTATAAATTCTTGAAATGGGGGATAAAGAAGGAGATCACTACTACTCCTGCTGCCCTCCTCCCCCCACCTTGCCTAGTTCACAAGACAGGAGGAAAGAGAGAAAGCAAAAAGTTAGAAAAAAACAAAAGTAAGATAAATAGCCAGACAACCCTGGCACCACCACCCGGCCCTAGGAGCTAAAAAAAGTAATAATAATAACATCAACCTCTGACCTAAACTACTTGTGTTATCTGTAAATTCCAGACACTGTATGAAAAAAGCATTGTAAAGCTTTTTGTTCTTTTAGCTGACGCATGTAGCCCCCAGTCACATTTCTCACGCCTGCTCGATTTCTCACGACCCTTTCACGTGGACCCCTTAAAGTTGTAAGCCTTTAAAAAGGCCAAGAATTTCTTTTTCAGAGAGCTCGGCTCTTAAGACGCGAGTCTGCCGACGCTCCCAGCCGAATAAAAAACCTCTTTCTTCTTTAATCCAGTGTCTGAGGAGTTTTGTCTGCGGCTTGTCCCACTACAATTTCACTTAACATAATGCGCCCCATTAAGCTCCTGTGAATCCCAGTTTCTAACCTGCAATTGCTCTAAGTGTTTTCATTCCCTTTTCATGGTTTCTACTAAGAATTCCAGAGCTCAGCTGCAATGTTTTCACTGCCTTGGAAGTTATTCATTGTTTTTCTTTACTTCTTGTCCACGGACACACAAATAAATTGTCTGGTGCAAGTGCAGCGGCTATATGCCCTTCCTGTGAAGGCAGGCCGGTTTGACATCTATTAAGCAAATCCATCTCAGCATTCTTAACAGCCTTTATATTGTTTGATATCAAGCTCAGCAATTTAAAAAATATGCCTCTGTCTCTGTAAGACTACCTATGAGTTGGAGACGATTTATGTAATATTCAACCCAGCAGATAATGTATATAAAAATTATTTCATATGATTTAATGATCTTGAATCGATTTAACTGTTTCTATGTCATATTTGGAAAAAGCAGGGCAATTATAAAATTTAATAATGGCATCTCCATAAAAAGCAATAATTCATATGCTACTTTAAAAATCTTTCTCCGGCAGTTAGGTGGGCAGAAAATCCAAAGTTAGTAACTTTGAACAGTTCCATCACTACTTTTTTTTTAAGTTAACTGAAGCAGCCTCGGGCAAGTCTTTCAGAAAGTTTCCAGAAGAAGGCATTATTATCAGGGAGATGACAGCTCCATGCCTGTTACTGCCCCTGAAGGCCTTCCAGTGGGACAAGATGTGGAGGTAGAGGACAGTGAAATTGATGATCCTGACCCTGCTTAGGTTTAGGTGAAAGTGTATGTTTGTGTCTTGGTTTTTAACTAAAAAGGTTTTGAAAATAAAATAAATAAATAATGAAAAAAGCTCACAGAATAAGGTTAAAAGGAAAGACAATATTTTTGTATAGCTATATAATTTGTGCGGTTTTTCGTTGATTTGTTTGAGACAGGGTCTCACTCTGTCACCCAGACTGGAGGGCAGTGGCACAATCAAGGCTCACTGTGGTCTCAATCTCTTGAGCTCCAGAGATCCTCTCACCTCACTCAGGAGGACGCCAGTCCTGCAGGCAGACATCAGGCCCCAGATGGACTCTGGACTCAAGGTGTACACCAGGCCCCAAGTTGACAACCAGGCCCCAGATGGACACCAAGGCCCTAGGTGGACAGCAGGCCCATGTTGAACACCAGACTCATGTGGACATCAGGCCGCAGGTAGACACGATGGATGCCTTAAGTAGACATGTAGGCTCCAGGTGTACATTAGACCCAAGGAACACACCCAGTCCCCAGGAGAACATCAGGCTCAGGTGAAAACTCAGGCCTTGGGCACACATCCGGCCTTAAGTGGACACCCAGGTCCCAGGTTGATACCCAAGTCCCAGGTGATCACCAGACTCCAGGTGGACACAAGGCCTTAGGTGAATAACAAGACCCAGTAGGCCATCAGGCCCCAGCTGGATACAGTCCCCAGGTGAACACAAGGCCCCAAGAGGAACATAGGCCCAAGGCAGACATCAGGCCCTCCGTGGATATCAGGCCTGAGGAGGATATCCGGCCCCCGGTGAACATCAGGCACAGGTGTCCAAGCAGGCCCTGGGTGGACATAATGGTGTCTAGGTAAGGAGGTGTCCTGGAGGGAGGGTGAGCAGTCAGCAGCCCAGTGGAGTCCTGAGGAGGTCTTATGGAAGGAAGGGGCTGAGGGGACAGAACCTTAAAGAAGCGACCTCACTTCCTTAATGACAGAGCCGAACAGAACTTAGAACTCTGGTAACCAGGCGCCCAGATCCTAGAGTCAGCACTGTAACCAGCTCACTTGGTGGGAGACGCTGGAGACAGCAAGATGTTCTCGTGTTGCTTCCCCACTTCGAGAGGCTGCTGCTTCAGGAATGGAGGGAGTGAGAGCCTTTTCCGACGATGCCGAAGAAGGCTCATCCCTCACCCCAGATGCCTGTGGCCCTTTGTAAGAAGGTGCACCCAGGTACCACAGGGCAGCCCGGGGCAGGCCCTAGCAGGCCAGGCCACACCAGAGATCCCATCGGGGCTGCATCTGCACACTGCCCTCCTCCAGGAGGAGATTCGGGAGCCCATGGAGGCAGAGGCACATGGTGAGGTGGCCTGCAGTCTGGAAGACTTTGCGGGGGCGGTGTTTAGGGGCTGGAACTCCTTTAAATTCAGGGAGGTTGTTTCTGTGTTTGGAAATTCCAGTGGAAAGTGACTGACGCTGGGGACCCTTTCTCCTTTCTCCGCTCCTGCTCAATATGCAGAAATAGAAGCATTTCCAGCACCAGCTGTTGAGCCAGAACCAGCATGGGAAGAGCCCCCTCCAGAGACAGCGCTGGAGGTGGAGGGAGCTCCAGCCAAGGACCAGCCCAGAGAGGAGTTGCCTGAAATCACGGCACCTACTATAGCCACTGGCCTTAGCCTTGCAGCTGAAAGGGTGGCTGGAGAGACAGGTGGCAGGGAGGGGGTGACCAGCACGGTCCCAGCCAGCAGCTCCCATGCTGCCCCTAGTCCTGGGCAGGTGGCAAACATGGAGGCGGAGACCAGGGTTTTGAGCCTGGGCTCCTCTACGTTGCTGGAGAGAGGCTTGTCTCATTCACTAGAGCTGCAGTCCTGCTGCTGCAGGGCCTGTTTATTCTACTGCTGCTGGTGGGGTCTATCTGTGTGCAGGAGGTGCTTGAGGGCATTAAAAGAAGGTTGGTTAGAAGAGTTCCAGCAGCTCCTCCTGCTCCCAGAGGCGGCCTCCTCCTCCAGGCACAGATGTCTGTCTGCAGCTGGGCATCCAGGCTGTTTGCCCCTGATGTGCTGTCCAGGACAGGCTCTTAACAGGTAGGCAGAGGGTGAGGGGACCAGGAGGCAGCTCCAAAGGGTACAGCAAGCAAAGCTTTTAAAGACAGCACTTGTGCCCCAGGCTCTCTGTGCCACCACCTGCCCTAGCATTTATTAATAGTGTTAGAATTGCAAGTTGATGAAACAATATTTCAATAAAGTTTGATTT